GCTCCTGTCCCGGGGAGAAGTTTGTTGGTTTAAGCTTTGCTCTGAATAAAGGAGCTATTTACTGAATCAGGTGGGAAAGGAGATACCATCCAAGAAAACAATTTGCCCTGGACTAAAAGGTTGGTTGATTAGTTTTTTAATAGCTGATAAGGGCCCCAAAGTGCAAGACTGAAGGCACCTAGCAGGTGTCAGCCTGCCTGCTAGAGAAGCCTGGAGAGTAAAGAAATACTGTGAGCAGCAATTCCTGCCCTAAACAGGCTGGTGCAGGAAAAACAATCCAGGTAAGTACCTGTTCCTGACCCTGGGGGTAACCTGAGTGCTGGTGGAAAGGGTCTCTGGAGTCTTTCTTTCCCTGATGAGCAGTGAGAGGGTTTTGTGGGCAGGTGCTGGCCCTAGGTCAGGCTGTTGCTGGAGAGCCAAGTTCTGAGGCTCCTGGCTCTGTTTTCCCTCTGTGATAGTGATTGGACAGCTCTGAGAAACAGAACCTGGCTTCACAGCCAAAAAATACTGTATTCGTGCCCACAGGCATACATAAAAAGGAAAAGCTGCCCTTGTACCTGCTCAGTAAACAGAAGTTGCTGCTCCCCTGCCTGTAGGAATAACGCTAAATACCTCCACTGAAGCTACTGTATATATTAATCCAAGCTGTAAGCTCATTCGCAGGCTCTAAAATCAGAAGCTGAGACACTTAAGCTGGTTTTTTGCTCTAATGCCGAGATGCTTCAAACGAGATTGGCTTCCCCTGTTGCTATATTAGCTGTAACAAGCTAATGTGTAGTATGTAACTCAGACACACACTAAATAACCCCCTCCTTGCTCCTTTCCCAGGTAAATCCTGAGGCGAAACGCACCTGAAGGAATGCTCCTCCCGAGGTGCGCTGCCTTGCACCCGTTATTACATCCCCGCCGCTGACAAGGCTGAGGCTCGGCGCTGCCGTGACAAGCTGCTTAGGGCGGGATGTCTCAGCGGTGGGGCCGCCGCGGGGGAAGGACGGGGCGGGCGCGGAGGGGCCGCCC